TGGCAAACTGAACTGATTTGCTGTATTGCCTTTGGATAGAATATATACAACTCTAGTTGTACCTCTACCAGGTACATAGTTGTTGGTGAGTACACCTACTACCTACTACCGGAGTGCAAGAGTACATCAACTACCTACTCCTAAGGTACATAGTACACCAACTACCTACTCCTAAGGTACAAGGGTACACCAACTACCTACTCCTAAGGCATAAAGCTTAGCTCAGCCATCTCTACTCTACATGGCTGAAGTAAACAGCTACTACTATGGCCTACTGCCTTACTGCTACAGCCGCAGGAATTGGTCGGCAGAGCCGATCAGTCTTCAACTCCCAACAGGGAGTGGTCGGCTGAGCCGACCATTCTCCAACAATGGAGAAACGGGAGCCGCAAATTATGTCTTACAATTCTTTCTCTAATCCTACTGCTAACTTGATGCCTTGACCTCATCCATGCCAATCATCTTCCTCAGCTCCATGAACCGCAGGTGCCCGAGTGACTTGGTGAGGATGTCAGCGAGCTGTCTGCCGGTCTCGACGAACTCGATGGCGATCTGTCCTCCATCGATGCAGTCCCAGAGGAAGTGGAACTTGATGTCAATGTGCTTGCTCCGGTCGTGGAGGATAGGGTTTTTAGTGAGGGCGATGGCGGGCTGGTTGTCCACCATCAGAGCTGGCGGGTGAGCTTCCTCGCCGGTCAGCTCGCCCAGCAGCCGGCACAGCCAGACAGCCTAGCACGCTGCCATGGCTGCTGCGACGTACTCTGCCTCACACGTCGACATCGCCATGATCTTTTGCTTCAGCGACTGCTAAGCAATGGGGGCCGCTCCAAAGAAGACGAGCACACCGGAGGTGCTCCGTTGCCCATCAATGTCGCCCGCCATGTCTGCATCACTGAAGACAGTGAGCTCCGGCTCACCTTCCTTTGCCTTGGGGGGTGCCTCACTGAATACCGTGAGCCGCAACCCACCCTTGCCGCCACTCTTGGGGAAGATGATCGCTTGATCGAGCGTCCCCTTGATGTAGCGCAACAACCTTTTCACTGTCGACCAGTGATCTTCGTGTGGGTCCTCCATGAAATAGCTGACGTAAACAATCGTGAACTCAATGTCCGGTCGGGCATGAGTGAGGAAGCGTAGCCCGCCGACGATGTTCCGATAGCGCGTCGCGTCCACCTTCACCGCCCTGCTGTGCTTGGATAGCTTCAGCCGCTCCTCCATTGGGGTTGCGCATGGCTTGCACTCCGCCATGCCACCACGCTCCAGCAGCTTCTTCGCGTAGGCGCGCTGACCCAGGGAGATGCTCTGCTTCCCCTGCCTCACCTTGATGCCGAGGTAGTAGGAGAGCGCACCGAGATCGCTCATCTTGAAACGAGCTGCCATCTCGCGCTAGAAACCGTCGATGTCCTCTACTCGTGCTCCGATGACGATTAAGTCATCCACGTACAAGCCGACGACGAGCTCCTCCCCCCATCGCCGCATGTAGAGCAGCGAGTGAACCCAAGCTCGCCCAAGGTGGTGTCGAGCTTAGCGTTCCATGCCCCGAGGGGCCTGCCGCAGCCCGTAGAGCACCTTGTGCTCAGCGCCCTTGATAGCGAAGCCTGGAGCTTGCTTGACAAAGACCGTCTCCGTGAGCTCGCCATTGAGGAACGCAGACTTGACGTAGAGGTGGTGGATGCGCCAATCTTTCGCTGCTGCCATGGCCAACAGCAAGCGAATGAACTCTATTCGCGCCACCAGAGCAAAGACTTCCTCGAAGTCGATGCCCTTACGCTGCACGAAGCCGCGGGCGACGAGTCAAGCCTTGTACTTGACAATGGCGCCGCGCTCGTCCGCTTCACCTTGTAGACCCACTTCAAGTCGGTCGGCCTGCAGCCCACCGGTGGATCTACCAGCTCCCATGTGCCATTGTCCTCGATGGCCTTCATCTCTTCTAACATCGCCTGTCGTCAATTGGTATCGCGTTCAGCCACTGCAAACATCGCTGGCTCCTCGTCACTAACAAGAAGCAACTCTGGGTCGTCGAGCAGCCGACTCGCCAGGCCTGAGGCCCCTGTATTGCCGATGATGTTGTCCAACCTATGGAACCGCACCTCCTCGCCATCATGGAAGGCATCCACAAACTCGCTGATGTCGCTCGGAGGGGAGGTGAACTCGAGTGGAGGTGTCCCCTGGCCTCCCTGTTCTGTCGGAGTGGTCAGCATTGCTGCTGGACCGCTTGGCACCACTACTGGAGTGGTCGGATCCACTGCTGGAGCAGTCGGCACCACTCCTAGAGTGGTCGGCTCCACTGCTGGAGCGCTCAGCACTGCTGCTAAAGTGCTCGGCAGCCCCTCTAGAGTGGTCGGCATTGCTGCTGGACCGCTCGGCACCACTCCTGGGGTGGTTGGCACCTCTTCTCCAGCATCTCCACCACCGTGGATGACTAAGTGTTCGACGACGAAAGTGCTGCTCAAGCTGCTAGCTTCCCTCATGCCCAGACCCTCCCAGTCCCAGGCCACCATCTCATCGAACACCACATCCCTAGAGATCACCACCTTGCCTCTCTTGGGATCATAAAGCCGATAGGCCTTGCTGCCCTCCTCGTAGCCCAGGAGCACCATCGGCGTGCTCCTATCTTCCAGCTTGTCGAGGTGAGGCTTGGTGTTCCTCACATGGCCGACGCAGCCAAATGTCCTGAGGAAGGACGCATTCGGCTTGCGTCCATGCCAAGCCTCGAACAGCGTCTTGGCCTTTAGGGCCTTAATGGGCGCGCGGTTGGGGACAAACACCGCCGTGGTCACCGCATCTCCCCAGAACTTCGCCGGCATCTTCTTGGACTTCATCATGGATCGAGCCATGCCGACCACCGTCTGGTTCCTCCCCTCCACCACGCCATTCTACTATGGCGAGTATGGCATGGTGTGGTGCCGCACCACGCCCTGATCCGCACAGTACGCATCGAACTCCACCGAAGTAAATTCGTCACCGCGATCAGTCCGCAGCACGCACAACTTCTTGCCGCTCTCCGCCTCTGCGCATGCCTTAAACATCTTGACCGCTTTCACCGCCTCGGTCTTGCTGGTCAGAAGCTGCAGCCACATGTACCGGCTGCAGTCATCCACTAGCAAGATGAAGTACTTGCGCCCGCCGAGCGTCGCCGGTGTGATCGGCCCGTAGAGGTCACAATGGACTAGCTCGAGGGCCTCTGCCGCGCAGTACTTCGCCGTCTTCGGGAACGACAGCCTTCTTTGCTTTCCGGCCAGGCAGCTGTCACACAGCTCGCCTGCGTGCTCGATGTGAGGCAGCACAGTCACCATCTTCTCCAGCCGACCAAGTGCGTCGAAGCTGAGATATCCATACCGGGCATGACACAGCCACGGCTCCTCCGTGCGCTGTGCAGCCAAGCAGATGGGCTGCTCCACCTTCAGGTCGAGTAGGTACAGCCGGTTCCGGGACCTCTTCACCTTGGCAAGAAGCCGCTGCTCCCGGTCCCTAATCCTGAGGACGCCGTCCTTGATCAGTACCTCACTACCACGCTCATCCAGCTGGCCAATGCTGATGATACTTGAGTACAGCTGCGGGATGTAATATACATCTGTCAGCGCGCGATGCTCGCTGTTTTAGCACCTGAAGATGATGGTGCCGTGCCCTCGGATCGTCACCCTTGAGCCATCATCGAACTTCACCATGCCGGTCATGTCGCCATCGAGCTCGGAGAAGGCTACCTTGGAGCCCGTCATGTGGTTGCTGGCGTCGGAGTCCAGGTACCACTACTGCTCCTGCTCACCACCCACACGTCCGAAGTGGACTTGGGCGCACGGTTCGTCGATGTTGACAACCTTCAGAGCTTCAACGTCATGTAGTGCACAGAACGTCGCCATCAGGAGAGTGGCCTGATCATCATCATCAGTCTACGCCAGATGAGCCTCAGCCTTCTTCTCCTGCTTGCGATTTGGGCACTCCTTTGCCCAATGGCTCGTATTCCTGCAGCGCCGGCAGACGTTGGGGTCGACCTTCTTCTTCTTCTTCTTCTCCGAAGAAGCCTTGCCGCGGCGCTTGCCATCGCCACCGCGGCTGAAGGAGGCTTCCCCGGACTTCTTCTCCTTCATCTGGGCAGCCCACTCCTCCTCTGTCAGCAGCAGCTTGCCACTGTCCGTCGTTGCTGTGGCTTGCTCCATGCGCTCGTCCACCGCTCGCAGACGGCCTGTTACATCCTCAATAGTGAGGGTGGACAAGTACAACATCGTCTCTATGGAGAGAGCAATCTGGATGTACTTCGCTGGCACGGAGTAGAGGTACTTGGAGACCGTCTCTTCTTCGTCGATGGTGACACTGTGGCTCCTTAACTTGCTGATGAGCGTTTGAAGGCGAAGGGAGAAGTCCTCCACCGACTCACCATCCTTGAACTTGAGGTTGGCATACTCTTACTTCAGCAGCTAGGCCGTCGCCTTTTTTGTGCGGTCGGAACCGACGCGCATCGCCACAATGGCCTCCCACGCCTCCTTAGCAGAGCTCTTCGCTCCCAACAGCTCCATGTACTCCGCTGGCACAACAGCGAGGATGGCTTCCAACGCTGACATATCGTTTTCTTCGTTGTCGGTGCCCTTGTCAACTTAGATAAACGCTTAAAAGAGACGCTGCACCATTTGTGCCCCTTAATGATCTGATACACCGGCACTCCAAAATAACCAAACTGTGCAGTGTTTTCAAGTTCTGGAAGACTGCTTCTGACGGGAGTGTAGTTAAACTCATAATACCTTGTAATTGTAAACGATTCAATGAACTGAGGCCTCCAAGGCAAATAGTTAAAGCCCAATCTGTAATACTGCAATTACAACGACGAAGTTATTGTGTCCCAAGGCTATTTCTATAGAGGAGTTTTATCCTTTGCTCCTGGCAATGTATCCATGCCTTGATGATATTTTCTTTCACAAATGCTTCATCTCTTCCACCAGCTAGTCTGCTTTCAATGACTCGCTGATGTTCTGCTACATCAGTATCCATCAATGGCATCATCTGCTTCAGATATGAATGCTCTTCCAATATTGTTTTTTAATTCGAGAACTTGACCCTGAATCCAGTTCCCAGATCAAAGCAAGTCGGGATGCCAGATTATCTGTTTTCATCATGCTTTCCTTTTCGTCATGTTGTTCCAGCTTATCATTGCAAACAAACATAAGCAATGTGCACTCTGCAATTTGGAGAAATTCAAGGTGCCTCGGGAGGCACGGTAGTGTCTTCAGATTTGGGACATGTCTAAGTGACAGATGAGAGCAATGCCTGAGGAGCTCTGCATTGGGTGGTAGATATTGTAAAGAACTACAATTGTACAGACAAAATCTATTCAAATTATCAAAGTAGGAACCATTGAGTAACCAGCTTGGATATGCAGAAGATTTGTAACCCCAAATGAGAAGAAACTTTAACCCAGGCGGAGGCATCAGCCCTTCAAGAACATCCAAATGAGAACTATCTTCTCCGCGCAAGTCATTGTCAAAACTCCAGTTCAGACGCAATCCCTCAAGATGCCTTTTCTGATGGAGCTTCGACTCTAAGGCTTCCACTTTTCCAGTGGCATTCTCAAGATTTGTGATACTTAAGATGCCACCAAGATTATTAATGTCCCTCAGCTGTCCCAAACCATATCCCTTCAGCCTACGCACACTAAATTTTTGAAGTTCCTGTAGTGAAATTAGCTTGCCCATGTAAGGAATCGGAGGGGCCCCTTCTTCAACTGGATAACCATAGTATTCATCAAGATATGCTCCCAGATGCTGTAGGTTACTTAAATTGCAAATTTTATCAGGCAGGCTCTTAACTTTAAAATTGAAGAGAAGTATCTGTAAGTGGCTGAGAGTGGACAATGACCCAGGCAGTTCAGAAATTGAAGTTCTAATGAGGTTCAAATACCGAAGATGCTTCAGATCAGCAACAGATTGAGGTAACTTCCTTCCATCATAAGAGCACAAATACAATACACGTAATTTCTTCAAATTCTGCAGTACCTCATGGAAAATATCACTTACATTATCTACAAGGGGGTCGATGCAGATAACAGTGCGTAAATTTTGGATCTTGCAGATACTTTGCTTGTGCTTCTTCATACTCTCTACACGAACAGATAAATGTCGAATAGCACATGCTATTTCTGTCACATTATCATCTTCTAGTCTGAAGCAGTCCTCTCTAGACAGCTCCTCTGCCAAGTCATGTAGGAGATCATGTACAGCATACAATCTTGTACCATATAAACTTTCAGAAGTTTGAAAGAACGAACGAGAGACCATCTCATTGATGTATTCCCTTCCAATATCGTCCATTCTCTTATCTTGGTTGCGTGAATCAACAAGTCCCTCTGCTATCCATAGATAAAGCGACTCCTCAACTGAATACTTGTGGCCTTTTGGAAATAAGCTGCAATACAGAAAGCACCTCTGGTGGCGTGGATCTAACTTCTCATAACTCCACAATAGAGCTCTCCTGGGTCCGCTTAAGTTTCTAATCTTTAGAGCATCTTTCCATGTGGTGAGATCTTTATTCCTGCTTAGCTGAGAACCCAGAACTTGTGCTGCCAAAGGAGATTGTCCAAGCTGTTTAGCAATCTTCTCTGCAATCCCATCTAGCTCTGCACGCAGATGCTCGTCTCTGATTTCTGCTCCTGAGAAGGAATGGTATTTGAAAAGTTTCAGGAATTCCGTGTCTTCCATGCTTTCCAAATGAACCACATGTTTACAGCAAAGAGCAACAGGAAATGTATCCCGTCGAGAAGTAACCAAAACTTTGCTGCCCACCCGCTGAGAAACTAGAGGAGCTAGAAGTTGCTGCCATTCTATCTCATCTGCGGATTCTTGAAACTAGACATCATCCAAGACAAGGAGGAATTTCTTTGACTGTTGCAGCATGTCACTTAATTTGCACTGAAGAGTATCAAGATTATCGACACGTGGGCATTCTCCCTTTGCAGCAGACTCAATGATCTCTCGTGTATGAGCACGGACATCCAGCTTGCGGGAGATGCAGACCCACATCCTGACATCAAAATGTTTCTTCACCCTGTCATTGTTGTAGACATATTGTGCCTAGGTGGATTTTCCAGCACCTCCATGGGCAACAATGGCCACACCAGAGTAGCCAGCTGAGTTATCCTTGTTTGTAAGAAGATCTATTATATGATTGCGATCGGAGTCGCGACCAAACACTTTTGGAGGGGGCAGTGATGTTGTCAAAGGGACAGCTGCTGTTGGCACATCTCTAATGCCACCTAGAGCTGGTAACCCAAGAAGCTGACGGAAGTCCTTGACTTTTGCTAAGATGCTCTTGAGTTCATTCAGCTGGCGAAGTAGCTCCCTGTTCCCAGGAAGCAGGTTGGACATCCTGCTTGTGGCAGCACGCAAAGGCTTCAGGACTTTGGCTCTCACCCCCGCTGGGGAGCGATCATCATTTCCATTCTTCGCCTTGTGCCTGAGGACACTGTACTCGTGCTCGTCAAGCAGATCTTCAGCAGTGTACTTTCCATGTGGTGCCCGAGCCATGCTTCCAAGTTTCTGCGGTGGGGACTCGCTTCAGCCGCTTCGATTACCAGATTGAACTGTGGCATGATGCTGGTCTCCAGTTCATGGAGCTCATTCGCCATGTAAACGCGAAGATAGGTTGAAGCGTTAGCGAGGAGCTTATTCAAGATGGGTGATATCGCTAGCCGTAAACCAGCTAGCGCCACCTCCGCCATGGTAACTTCTTTCTCTAGGCCTTATTCTGGGTGGATTGTGTGGTTTTTTTAGGTGGAAATGTATAGAGAAAGAGTAGAAATATCTTTTCTGGTATAACTAGAATAATAATAAGATTGAATATATAGAACCCCAAGTGTTCTTTTTTTTTTTGGTTTTGGGGTGATGGATATACCGAAAAGAAGATTGAAGTATCGTTTATCTTTACTTTTTTTGGGTAGAACTATGATACAAAAAGGAATAAGGGTGAATATAGATAGAGACGAAAATGCTTTTATGTAGAGATATTTGGGAGACAAATCGGCTAGATGAAAACAGTCAACTGTGGACAGCTTAGGGGTGAGGAAATGGATATGTATATGATATGAAGAAGTACAAGATAAAAAGCTTTTTTGTTTTTGTGGGATGGGGAGAAGATGAAAAAACCTTTTTCCTTCTATCCGTGTGATTCTTCATTTTGTGGCAGGGGACAAGATAATAAACTCAGTTTCTTTTATTCCTTTTATGAGAAGAGGGGGTATGAAGCCAGAGCCTGTGCGGGATGACTCCAGTGGACTGATACTTGAAGTCAGTCGCCGAAGGAACTCCACCCCTTCCCCCGAGCGTCCAGGACGGGCGACTCGGGGGCGACCACACCGGCACTCCATCTTGCCCCCTCCGCGCCTCCCCTCCGGCCGCCGTCGCCGTCCTCCAGCACGAGGTGGTGGCGGCGCCAGCGGCGGACCCGAAAAAAGAGCATCCGTCCGCACCTTCACCTCCCTCCCACTCCCTCTAGCTCATCCCCTCCCTACCTCTCCAACTCCGGCGATGTCCGGCGGCCGGGCGGCCGGATCTGGGTTCCCAGGGGCCGGATTTGGCGCATGCTCGCTGTGCCAGGTCGGGGCTGCCTGTGGTGGCCGGATCTGCCCCCATGGGCGGTGGTGGCTTCAGCCAGCCTCCCGCTTCCGGTCGGCGCGTGGCTCTGGCGTCTGGCAGGCGTGCTGGGCTGCAACCGGCTGGCGCCATGGCCTGCCACGTGGATCTGGCCGGGGCAGTGGCGATCGGCGGTCCCAGTGGCATCCTCGCCAGATCTGCGACGGCGCATGTAGGGCGCCCAGGGCCGGGCGGCAGAGGCCTGCAGTTGGCCGTCTTGGCAGCGCCTGGCAGGGTCCTGGTGTCCGGGCGCCCCCACTGCTACCTCTGGCACGTACGACGGACGGCGGGGCCGGATCTAGCCCCACAGGGTTGATGGGGTGAAAACCCCGCCAGGCTCTTGCCTTGGGCCGACGACGGTGGCGCGCCAGCATCATCATCTTCTTGGAGGCGTCGTCAAATGATCAGTTCGTCCTTGGGGTTTGCTGGGACAAGTTTGGGGACGAAAGTCCCTTTTGGGTACTCCTCCCAACGAAGTTGACGTCTACGGATGTCATCCCCTTCGTGAAGGCTTTGTTGATGCACTCCGCTTGATCCCCCCGTGCCGTTCGCTGGAGTCCTCACTGTTCTGTCTGCGTGTGCTTCATTTTATTCTTCGCATCGGTTTGCCCTGCCTCAGTTGATGTTGCCGCTGTAGTCACTCGGCTGTTCACAGCGGCTACCTAGTCGTTGTTGAAGTTGCTGCTGTAGTCGCTTGGTTCACAGCAGCTACCTGGTCGCTGTTGATGTTGCCGCTATAGTCGCTTGGTTCACAGCGGCTACCTGTCGCTGTTGATGTTGCCGATGCAGTCGCTTGGTTGTTCACAGCGGCTACCTGGTTGGTTGCTGTTGCTTCGCTATTATCTCGGTTCTTATCGGTGGATACTTTGCCACTGCGGCTTCTAAGTGGGCAGCCTTTGTGTTGAATTTTTTCTACAGGTCCAGTCGGTTAGGTCTATGGTGAAGGGTCCTCTCTCTTACGCCTTTCTTGTTTTCTTGTTCTTGTATCGGGTGCTTGGAGGTTTTGGTAATTTTGGGATTATCGGGATGCCTGTCGTTGTAACTGTTTAACAACTCCTACTCTCTCTTAATGAAAAACGGACAAAATGTCCGATGGAGAAGAAAAAAAAGGGATGACTCCAGTGAATTGAAGCCCAGCTGTTGTTGTGGCTGTGTCCTACTCTTATGAGATCGATTCGAGGCCCAGCAAAGGATGAACCCACCTGTTAACAGAACGGCGACACAATGACATAGACAGAAAAATGAATTGCTATGTTGAAGATAAGAACTGATTAGGATAGTAGCTGCCGAAGGTTAGGAGGGTTGGAAGGCTTACAGTACACAGACGACGAAGCAGAAAATGTTGACGGAAGCAGCTAGTGTTGTCGGAGACGGAGACGAAGACGAAGACGGTGACGGTGACTACGAGAAATGGCAGGGAAGGGGTAGCTGTGGGAGCGGCCTACAGGAGCTAGCGCGTGAAATGGATAGCAGAGCTACGCCAGCAGCGAACCAGATTCGTAAAAGAAAGCGAGCACAATCCGGATGCCGAGGAGAGCTAAAGAATAAAGATTGCTGGCCTCGATTCGCAGCCAATTCCACACCAGCTCAACGGCATCTATGATCTATCCGGCGTTGCCCGACGATCATATTTTCCCGCGGTGCTTCCTCCACGTCTCCACGGCATCTGACGCTGGTGTCTTCAACTACTTGATTGCAGCGCATACTCGGTTTTTTTTTTCCTGAATTGTTAGTATACTCATCATCGTTATACTCGTTATACGTGTCTTCAACTAGTGCGATCCCATGGATCTATTGTAGTTCTATAAAAATGATTTGCTTGGTAGTATACATGCTTAATCACACAATCAAGGTAATCAAATTTTAAATAGAATGATTTTTTTCTGACAATTTGTACATGGCGGATAGAAGTTGCATGTGCTTCGAGATCCCTTTTTGTCCAGAGTACTTGAGCTGAGGTCCTTCATGAAAGGAGTGACGGGGGCAGCCAAGATGAATGCTTGGTATATATACCGTCTACTATTGCCTAATCCATATCAAAGTTATCAAACCGTTGATTAAAAACTAGGGGTAGAACACAAAGAGAAAATAAAATAGGGGCAAAATCACATGGATAAATTTATCCTTTTGTCCAAAACTTAAGACCGTTAAGAACACTTCACAGAACAAGTGCAAACTCTCCGTCAATTTCGAAAACATAGGGGTAAAATCACAAAGTTTAAAAAACGAGGGCAAAATCATCATTTCGCTACAAAACAGGGGCAAAAACGCTTAAGCCCCTTTATAAAAAAAAGAATATCATAAATACGTAGGTCTCTTATTTATTGAAAAGTAATTATGTGATTTTTTGGGTTGATATTTCTTTGTTAAGAATGCATGGATTCATTATCTAAAAAGTGAATGCATTGGTTGATGATTATATAATAAAAAGAAAGAAGGCATTTTTTTGCGAGACAAAAGAGAGAAGGCATTGGTGTAGCAAACAAATCATATCCTCATATGTCGTGTTTGGCCAGGCTATTCCTTCGTGAAGACATTATTAATCTTTTCTTTTTCCAATCAATGATAGCCAAACCTTTGGTTCATGACTCCATATATACGCTCTTGCCCACAATTGTAAGACACCCCCCACCAGGTACCAATTTTCCTCTAGCTTGTCGCCATGGCCATGCCAATCGCACCGATGGTTGTGGTAATGGCGATGCTGCTGATGGCCATGATGGCCACGTCGTCCGTCGGTGGCACACTACAACCATCACCTGCCGCCCCATGCTCCAGGGCCGCAACACCACGCTGCTACCCCGAAGCATCATCACCACCATGGCCATCACGCCCCGGCACCTGCACCAGTGCCTACGCAGTCAGCAAGTTCTCCTGGCAATGGCGGTACTGGTGCTGACCATGCACTGGCGCCAGGTCATCATGGCCGCCATGCATCAGCACCGGCGGCGCCAGGTCATCACGGGCACCATGGCCGACATGCATCAGCACCTACGCCGGGTCATCATGGTCACCACGGTCGCCATACATCAGCACCGGAGCCAGGTCACCATGACCACAACGACCATCACAGTCACCATGGCCATCATGCCCAAGCGCCAGCGCCGGACCATCGTGGCCATCACGGACACCGCCATCATGCCCCAACACCGTCGCCGGTCCACGCTGACCAGCCAGCGCACGCTCTGCACCACCCTCGGCATCACGCTCCATCTCCGGTTCCTGCTCCTGTTCATGGCACACAAGCCGGTCAGGATCAGAGCTCCTGGTTGCAAATGAGCAATGATTGTATAACGTGTGGCAAAATGAAAGATAATATTTTAGGCCGTCTGTATTTTCATGTAGCATCTCTAGAATGCTACCTAAACAGGGGGGCTCTTTCTTCTCTGTATTAAGTAGTGGGAGAAAACTAGTCTCTATCAAGCTGCTTCCCTAGATTTGTTGGTTACCCAATCCATTCCCACACGTCAAATAGGGGGGCCTCTAGTTTTCTGTTGTATCAATTTCTTCTCCTGCCACGTATGACCCCTCCTTGCCCGATGGCTTCTCCCACCTGCCGCCCCCTCCACGACCCGCGACGCTGCATCCCCGCTCGACCTTGTCTCCTCACTGCCCGATCCACCTCCCTGCTTGACCTCGCCTCTTTCCTCATCATCTCATCTCGCCGTTGGTGCCTCCTCTCCACCCGACCTCGTTTTTTGATGGTAACAGGAGGGGTTTGCCCCCTACTAGGTTCGACACCTCCTCCTTCCCGTTCTGTTCCTCTACACCCGGTGCCGCCTCCTCATCTCTAACCCAATTCCTTTTCATCCGACGCCTCCTCCTCCTCTCTCGGTTGAGCATGCCACCGATGTGTTGTCGCCTGCCGCGTCATGCACTGCAAGACACATGTGGCT